ATGTTTAAAATATTAATTACTAAAAGTTGAAAACGGTAAAATCTAAGCGTATGTTACTATCTTGCAGATTAAGAACCTTAAAAGATCGAGAAAATGTCGTTGTCTAACACGCAGATCATATCCAATCTCATTATCTCAATCACTATCGAGTACCTCCGCTAGTTTGATATATCAATGATTTTTTCATGTGATTGAATACCAGTATCTATCAATTGATGACGGTTGAGTGTTTTTGGATGAATAATAGACAATAGATCAATCACCATGGGTATTGATGCTAAATCGATAGTACCTAGCAAGACCTGTACAAGTGGATATGCATTCAACTCATCATTATCAACTGATTCTTAATGATTATTTATATCTAAAATAATAATAATTATTATTTTTTTCAAATATTTCAATATCATATTTTTTTTTTGTTCTACATTTGAAATGACTAAATTCTCAATACATGTAAAATTAAATTTCTTTCAAAACTTTTCTTTTCTCTTTTTTTTCATTATTGAATTAAGTCTTAAGATAAATTTCTTAAAAATAATATGGTAGAAGAAAATTACAAAATAAAGTCATTATATGCTCTCTCTATGAGAATTTATTATTATAATAGACGTTAACCAAAAGATATAGAAAAAAAGTCATCATTAAAAGACAAGGAAAAAAACAAGAAATGACTTCTTCCACTACCAAGTAATTTTATCGGATATAAATGGATAAGTTTCATTATATGATGTGTAGAAATATAATTACATATGAACAAACAAAAAATAAATGAAGAGAAAACATAAGAAAGGAATACTGTTATGTATTGAGCTAGATTTTTATAAAATAAAAACAATAAAAATAAAATGCATGAATCCTTACAGTAGGGGTGATACTTCAGTATATTAGTTTGAAAAATAAAGATAAAGTAAAGAAATAAATCTTGATTCCTTTGTTTTGGTATTTTGTGAACGATACTATGGTTAGAAGTGGTCTTAAGCCACAGAACATATATTTAGAAAAGATTTTTTATCATGAAACAATTATGTTTTTATTGACAACAAGCTATTTGAATGATGACATGAATTTGTTGTTTTCTTTTTCATGATATTAAGCAGATTTAAGTTATAAAAATGACTATGTAATCAAAGTAATATCATATTCTATACATCAACATTAAAACAATCTTGATTTATAGAATATCATGTGACATTTTTATCGAATTGCCATTTTGATACCTAAAATTCGGTGAATACATTTGTTTCATGATAAAAAAATTTCCTAAATATTTATATATATTTTTTAAAGATAAATGATTTATTTATCTTTAATTTTTAAAGATAAAGGATCACCCCTATTATACAGAAATAAATAAACAATTATCTCTCATTACATTAACATATTTCTTGACTTTTAAATCATCAATTCTATATTCTATTATTAGTTTATCAAGTTCATGGTTAATTTCTGTTAGATATTATTATTCAATATATTTTATAATTTTATCTTCTTCGTTCTATGTAATTGTTGTATGATTTGCGTTGATGTCTCTGAAGAACGTTTCAAAGACTTCTGAGTTAATGTATCGTTAGCTACAAGAAAAGAATATTATAATAAATGGCAATTTTTGTTTGTGTTCGGTAACAATAATTACTAGTATCACACATTTCATCATTTTCAAATTCATCATCCATACGTATATGCCAACGTGTTTTATCATACCAAATTAAATTATTATATTCTTCTAAACGTTGTTGTCCAAGTGCACTAAGAATCATTTCTTTGGTACATTTAATTGATGTTTCAATATGATTTGATAATTGATCAATACATTTGAATGATAATTTATAATCATCTTCTGACAAATCAAGTTTTGATAATGATAAAAGAAATTTCATGCGTTTCACATATGCTGTACTATGATTTATATTATCTTGTGGTGGTAATAACTTTAAATATGCTTGATAAACGGTTGATGTTCTTTTTGTTTGATTTATTAAAAAATTACCGTATTCAATTAATTTCTCATCTAATAAAAATTTTAATGCTGCGTTTCTTATCGTAGCTGATTTATTTATATTACGAATCGTAATGTATGATTTCATGAACAACACACCACCTTTCAACAAGATCAATTTTGCTGTTTGTTTTATAGTCTGATCAATATCTAGAAACGAAGAGAAAAAAAATATATCTATATACGTGCAAGAATAAATCTTTCAAAAATGATTGTGAATATTTACCGTGATTATTACTTTGAGATGAATCAATAATGTGATTAGATTTATCAGTTTCATTGTTGTTGGTTTCTTGACCTATTACATGACAATAATAGATACAGATGTCTTAATTATATTATGTTATAAGGTAAAAATTATCTTACTGTTACTAATATTATCATTGTAAATCATGGACGAATTATTCATTGTAAAAATATGTTCAACTGCACGAGAACAACTGTTAGATTGATGAAAAACAACGTTATCTATGAATTACAAGTCATAGGAGAATGAATACTTTGTTTTATTATAAAAGTCTCTATTATACCATTTTTAATTGAAGAATCATGAGCTTCGATCTTTCGAATTATGTTATCGATGACAGTCAACAATACATTATTCAATTCGAACGTTTCTTCTTGTTTGAAAAGAAACAAAAAACAAATAAGAACTTATATCGAATAATTTATTTTCTGCATACCCAATTTCTTACTATTCATGCTAAACATATTTCTATTATGTTTTTCATTTGAATCTAATTGAAAAACAAGAAGATGTTAGAAAAATAAATGCTATAGGTATTTTATTTTTGTAAATAATTTTAATTAAGTGTATGACAATACTTCATTTACTTATAATATTAATACATCAGAAATATTTTCATTTCTGTATTCACTTAAACATATAATTATGAAAATATTTTATTCCTTTTTTTGTTTTTTACGCTATTTTAAAACGATAAATTTCTTTCGAATGAAATACTTGTGAAGATTTATCAATCGATGATCACAATGGTCAAGAAATTAAATGTTAAGTTAGAAATAGTAGAAATTTAATGTTTTGTAACAATGAGAGAAAAAAAAATTCATAAAAATTTCTCATCCATTGATTATGAATAGAGATAGTTAATTGGATGATTCCATTGTTAGATATAGAATAAATATTATTAGTAGTTGAACAATTTCTACTTACTAGAAATCATTAGATCATCATTTATTCGTGTTTCTTGTTCAATATTAACAGGTTCTTGAATAGAATTCAATAGATTATTGTCATTGTCTTTCATTATTGTATATATCGTATCTATGAAAAATAGACATGCATCATTCATTCAAAAAAGATTAAAAAAAACTAAGAAACAGATCATACTTAATTGAATATTATTATTATTATTATTATATGATGGAATTGTTTGATTCAAGTTAATAATATTATCATCTTTCAAAGAATAATCATGACTAGAATGTGAAAGATCAGCACAACCATTGACAGAACTTGTTGATGAAAAAATTCCTATATCATTTTGAAAAGCTAAAATGATGATGACAAGTATGTAATATTATGAAAATTATATGTAAATTTTTACTAACAATCATCATATATTACATTAAAGTTTGTTAATACTTCATCTTGATATGAATCATTTTTCTTGTTGTTATCATCAAGTGAACTAGTAATATTCAATACATCAGACGAAAACAATGTGTTGTCAGAAGCTACAACTATGTTATTTGATTAAAACAAAAAGAAGAATGATATAAATGAATATAACGAAAATTTTTTCATAAATAAATGTAAATTACTTACAATCAAAACGAAATTTTTCTTGTAAACAGATGTCCATATATTCAGGACTCAAATGAAGCAAATATTTATTTTCTTGAAAAAAATGTATAGCAATGTAAACATTTACAACTATTGACTATATTATATTATACTTACTGTTTTCATCAAGCTGATTTAAATTATTAATATTTGTAATAATTTCATTGAAAACATCGAAGCCAACAATAAAACATAAAGAATCGAGAATTTGTCTTAATTTTGATTTTTGCTTGTCCATTTCAAAAACAAAACCACAAGTAGTTGATGATTTATTTAAGTTATTTATTGTTGTCGATGATGTTGTAATCGATGAAGATGATGAATTCAATATTTGTATATGTTTAATTGATTCAGCATAAGAAACAATACTATAATAATCATCAATATTGAAATTAGTTTTTGTGATAGTTGTTTTTAAACTATTCGAATGACTATCATCGTCATCATCATCATCATCATCATCATCATTATTATTATTATTATTATGAGAATCATTATTATAATTATTTGTCTCCATCGAATTGTTCAAATCATCTTGTTCGTTACAATTATTATTCAGAAATTCTTCGTTTGAAAAATAATGTTTAAATTCAGAATAATATTGTGGTTTATTTTGATACCATCGTATTTGTTCTTTTCCAATTACATATTGTTTAGGTAAATCATTAAGACTACATTCCTGATGAAAACGAATATAATCTTCTAACGTTGTATTAATATGAAAAATTTTTAACTTTAATTCAAAATCTTTTTTTTCTTCATTTGATAAGCCAGGTAAACAACGAAAATAACATTTAAAAAAATTTCGTGAATGATTACTTTGTTTTTTACCAGCTTCTATCATTTTGTTTGAGCAATTTAATAAACCAGCCTGCACTAATTCATCTAACTGCTTTTCGAAAATTAGATTGTTTTTAATCATATTCGAAGGAACAGGACTTGGTCCAATAATTGATCCACCTACTGGATAACCTTTTCGTAACCATTCTTTCATTATATAATTATATTTAAAAGTCATTAGAATACAATCAGCAAAATTGTTGACAATTAATTTATCGGATATTGATGTATCATTATTTGAGGAAAGACTAATACGCGACAATGATGTTTGAGTTGTAAGTGCTTCACTATGTTTCACATTAATATTAAATAATGTTAATGCTTGATGTAAAAGGAAATTAACAATTTTCATTCCAATTTCACATGCATCTCTTTCAACATAAATGACATGATACTTATTTCGATCTGAAATAGGCGTTTTTACAAAATACATTGAATTTAATTGATTACGAATACGTGATATCCATTCTACATCAATAGGTTCATTTTCATTATAATCAAAAGCAACATCAACATCATTTTTTTCAAAAGATAGTGCAAGATTTAAGGCAATTAATAATGATTGTATTACACAACATAAACGAGGAGTATGTTCCATCATTTTCACAATAATATCTCGTTCATGTTGAGGGTATTTTTTTTCGAATGCATCATCATGAATATCACTTATATGATTAACATAATAATTTAACGAACTATTTTCATCAAATTCACCATTATCATAATCAATTCCATTACTAAAATATTGACAAAAAAAATGTAATGATTATTGATTTCGTTTAGTCTATCCATAATTTTTTTGTATTAAACAATCATACACTCTGTATATGAGCTCATATGATCAGTGTGACATAAACTAGTCTTTTTAAAAATTTTTTTTCTTTGTCAATTATGCATAAGTTAGAAAAAATAGAGAGAGATTTTACCTAATATCAAGTCGACTATTCTTTGTTTTTCTGAAACGAAACTCGACATTATCCAATTGGCTTATAATTAAATATAGAAATGATAATGTTGGTAAACGTCTATCAATTTGAAATTCATTGTAAGCATCAACACGTATACTTTTTCTTTCGGGCATAACAAAATATAAAAATCGGGTATATAAACCTGTTCCAGCTCGATATTCTAATATTAATCGAATTAAATGATAGAATTTCTCGAGCGTGGAACCACCAAGAAATGATAAAACGCCATGTTCAACAAAAATACTACCACCAGCACCCGTCATACGACTAAAATTCGATATTTCACCATCGAATGCTTTGATTAATGTATCTGAACTTTCAGCATATTTTTCATTTCCCTTTGTATCAAATAAACCTGAAGTGTAACGGTAAGATATAAAGATCAAAAATTTTCAACTAAAATTATTAACAGTTACCAAATCTTGATAATTGAGTATCAGCTTCTGTGGTTGCAATTAATAAATTATTGGAAGCATTGAATGATGTTAATAATCCAATAGGTGTTGTATTATCAATAATTGTTGATTTTGAAACAATATTATTGGTCAATAAACCTTTTTCTTTCTTTTTTTCGACACGACTCGAATGTGTTTTATTTGTTGTTAACTTTTGTACATTCATTTGAAGACGTGGAACCAACACAGATATACGTTCAAATGGTTCAATAGCTTGACGAATGACAGTTGACTTTAGTGTACCTTAATAAGAATGTCGAATAAAGAAAATCAATGAGATAAATTTTATACCTGTAGCACCACCAATTAATACGTTCAACGAAAGAGGATTTAATCGGTTACCCATATGATTTAAATAAACATCATCACCTAATAGATGAGCACATATTGGTAGACAAGCGACAAATAATGCAAAAGCATTCACTTTATTATGATATTCATAATTGAGAAAAACCTTTGCTAAATCTTCAGGTAAGAAATTTTGAATATTTTCATTTCAAGTTATTTCACCAGCTGCTTTACGATTAGCAGATAGTAGAAGTGATGTGAAAACGTTTTTATTCGGCATAAACTTTGCTATTTATAATGATGATTCAATTTCTTATTAAAAAATTATCTAAAACAAAACAAAACAAAACAAAACAAAACATATACAACATCATTTCAATACATTTAATGATTCTAATACACCCTTCGCTACATTCAGAAGCATATTGACGGATAGCCAGTCAGACAAGAAATTTAAAAAAAAAAGTCCCTATTTTAACGAAAATAAAATCGTAAACATTTATTAATGCGTTTAACTTCGTTCTAAAATTAACGCGTTAAAATGTGCACTTTTCCTGATTTTATTTTCCTTTAAGATATTTAATGCGTTTGATTTTGGAAATGAAAATATGCAAAGAGAGAACAATCAGATTTCATAAACCAAAGATATTTGAGGGATGATTTTGATGAGTTTTTATTTGTTTTAATTTTGTTACTATCTTATAACAAATGACTTCTAAGTTAATTTCGATCCATAGAACTTTGCAAAAATTTAATATTCAAAAAATTTGTCGACTTTCTTATACAGTTGCATAGATCGAAATTAACTAAGAAGTCATTGTTATAAGGTGGTAATAGAATTCAAACAACTAAGAATTTATCGAAAAAATCCTTCAAATAACTTCAGTTTATAGATTCTGATTGTTCTCTCTTTGGATACTTTCATCTAATAGATCAAACTCTTCGAGCCAGAAACGAAACGCGAAAAAATATTCTACTCTTACTACTTCATCTAATAACTACTACTTTTTCTGTGAAAATAGGAACTATTACGATTGTTTCATAAGTTTCGAGGCCTTTTTGATATTCTTTTTTACACTTTTCGAAGGCATCTAAATTTAACAGATATTCAAGATATAAAAAGAGTATAATCTAGACTATCATCCACAATTGATTGTACCAAATAGACATCATTATTCATGAAGAAGATTATTATAAAACCTGCTAAAAATGTGTTTATCAAATGTGTTGTGCACTCGTTTCCGATTACGAATAGAACAAATACCTGTCTCTACCAAACGTTTTTGTCATTCTGTTATTTTGTAATGAGATTCGAAATAATCTTTGAATGTCTATTAGTACATAGTTAAGATAAATATACAACAACAAAAAAGTAGAAAGTAACTTTGATAAACATTTTCAACATGTTGTTTAATGCTGCACTTCCTTAAAACATATATTTTCTATATCTGTTCAACTTTATATAATCGAAGCATATTGAAAAAAAAACCAAATTCACATCTTATTAAACACTAGAAATATACTGAAAACTGGTAAATGATATCTTGGTATGGCTATTCGCTTCTTTCTGATATCTGTTGACATTAAAAGAAAAACTAAAGAAATAAAGAACTTATTTTTCTCTACATGATAAATAGTAAGGTGAAGTATTAACATTTTTGTCCAAGTTCATTCTTTAACATATAATTGTGTTATCGATTGCAGAACAAAAAAATATTTCTATGTATCTTACTAAAAATGTAAAACCTGTCTCGTATTACAACATATATTTCGAATTATTTATCTATCAACTATTAGAATGGTGTTTAGCTGACTAAGAGAAAAAAACATGAAATATGTTACGAAAAAATTTATAACACTATAGGCCAGGCTCCCAAACGGGCCACTCGGTCCAATAGATCGGCCCGGTCCAGCGAGATTTTTATTTCGGGCCGGACGGGTCCTACGATTCTGTCGAACCGCCCGACCCGAACTTTATTTGCGTTTTTGAGAAAGATTTCTCGCATAGCAGCACAGAAAAAATTTCTGTATTTAATTGATTTTTCTAACTAAAAATTCATTAAATTAGTACTAATTAAATCCGATAAAAGTTTGATTTTTCAACATTGAACATATATTTCATTTGATTTTAATCTTTCTTAATCGTATTGTAAAAAAGGTTTTAATCAAGAAAAATTTATTAATTGATCAAACAAGACCACAAATCCATCGAAATTTATCTTTAAAAGCTGAAAAATCTTTTTCTTAATCAGAATAGAATAGTGTCATTTTAATCAATATTTACTCAAAAAACAATCGTTTTTTTTCTGATTTTATGTCCAAATTTGTAGCGTGGGATATACATTGTGCAACTGATAAGAATTAGGAATTTTTATTATGCAAATGTTTCAAAAGTTTAATTTAGCCAATAAATTAAATTAGAGTATTGACTTGGTTAGACGACATTCCTCATCTACACAAGACCAAATGCACTATCACCTGTATTAAGTGGCATGAGTATTAGCCAAATAGAGTAGTGTTAACTGTCTACTAAGATCAACAGTGTAGCTAAAAATAGTAACTAATTTGAAGCTTTAAAATGAATTAGTGAGCATTTTATTTGTGAAAGCTTTCTATTAATAAATAATAGTCTTGAAGAAAATGCAGAACCCCACAAACGCTTTTTTCCTCTTCCGGTTCGATACGTAATTCAACATATCTCTCATACTATTTTTTTCAACACATTGAAATTATCTGACCTTATTTAACTCGTGATCATCGTGATAATAAAGTTTTTATAATCTTCTAATAAATGATAGAAGTAAGTGTGAAGTTCTATTGTACAGAAATCCTTTTTGTTAATGAAATATACTTTCTATAGTACCATGTTGAGCTGGACCGAACCGGACCATCAAAAACTGATCCGATTTCGAGGCTTCCTATAGACTTCAATAGAAACGAAAAGTCAAAAAGAAAAAAATCGATTCGAACTAAGAAACAATGAAAAAAAAGTCAAATTATTATGCAAATAATAGAAAAATGAACTTACATTGATTTATTTCATTTAATTGAAAAAAATTGCTACATCTGGATAAAATAAACAGGAATATGTCGCACATTTCTTCGCATTACGACCGATATAGCGTATAAAAACTTTTAGCAGTGATTGCGATTTTTGTTTTCTCGCTATAAACAATTTCAGAGTGTTATTCTATCTCAATTCGAATTATTTCTCAGAAAAAATTCAAATTAATTTACAAAGAAAAATACCTTAAGAAAATATTTTACTACAAAGAAAATTTACAGCACGCCATTGTATATATTTAAAAAAAATTATCTTTCCTACATGAAAAATAAGCATTGTAATTATACTAGCCAGTTCTTGTACAGATGAAGACTACTTTTATTTTATAAAAATTTTTTCTTCTATATTGTTTATATTAACATATCTATTAAAACACATTAAAATGAGTTAAACATTAAAAGACAGAAAATCGTGTCCAACAAAAAATACGTTTTCTGATTTAAAATTCTTGAATTTAAACGTGTTTGACATTATGAACATGTTAAAATCAATAGAAATTAGCAATACACCGAGTAATAATGCGTATATTAGGAGAAAACCTACGCGTTCAAACAAATTCACATATTCTCAATGCGTTAATACGCGTTTTTTTTTTGAAGGACTTATCTGACTTGGTATCATCTTTATCAGGTAATAGCGTGTCTAGTAAAAACACTAAAAAAAAGAGTAAAACGCAATGTTTTTATCAAGATTATTTTTTAATATCAAAATTGGACTTTCTTCTTTTTTGTTCCTTTTATGACTATAACTAATGCAATCTGGTTAAGATAATCTACGTACATGTTTTTCGATTCCAATAAAATGATTTCGAATCTATGCCACACGAAAAAGAGGGTGTTCTAAACAACAACATGCACATACATATACATTTAAACATAAACAAACAAATCTAAGAACATTTTTTCCATTCTTTTGACATCAATATCATATGAATAAAATCATTAAAGAGAAAGGATTAAGTATGACGAGTGAAAACTATTTATTTTATTTTCTGGAAAACATTCTCATGAAAATATATCCTCAATTAAATAGCACATAACTGATTGAGTTATAGCGGAAAAAAATATCTATTTTTTTTTATTCTTTTTATTCGTTCATATTCTTAATTCTCATCATCGTCATATTTTAGATAGGTTTATTCCTACATTATGTGTGTACAGGATGGCATAAAAAGAAAAAAATTGATATATTGATGAGATTTATTTTGTTCTAGCTTTTTTTTTCATAAACAAAAAAAATACCTAAATATTTATGTATGAGAAATATATATATTAACAGGTTTCGTAGCAATTCGTCGAGAATCTATAGGAAAATGAAGAATTTTTATGAAAACATATAGGAAATATATGGGACAATTTTTTTCAATTAGAAAAATTTTAAAAAAACTTGCCAAAAATTACCATGCCTCCAAGTTCATAAACATATCATATTCCAAATTGTGAAATAAGTTGAGAAAGAATATATATTTCAATTAATAATAAATGAATTTCAACAAAGTTCAATAAGAAAAAATAAGTTTAAATAAAATAATGATTGACTAATATCTATATAAAAACAATATAAGATAGCAATATATCGAAAAATCTTTACAAAAATAGTTGAATTATTATCTAAACAATTTGAAAGGAGAAAATAAAGATTTTTTAGAACTTCAGCATATTAACACAAGTTCATCAAATTTTAGTACTGAAAAGAAATTAAGGTTATAAATATACATTGATATGAGAGTGATACTATTTTAGTTCGATGTTTTCGATTATAAGACTGAAGTATTTTTCGAGAATGATAATTATTTTTATAAAAATTACCCTAATATTTTTAGAATCGTTGAATTCAAATTCACAAAGAATTTGTCGAAGTTTTCAAATTCAATTTTTTAGGTTATTCGCGAGATCTTTCAAAGCGATAGTTACACTTCTTGAAACTCGACTAAATCACAATAATAGGCTTATACTAATAAAAACAAGAATCGAACTAAAAAATTTTGATAAAACATCTATAGATTGGAATTTCTCGACTGCAAAAAAGCATATGAGTCAGAGCACGAAATGAACCAAGTTTTGCTGGTTCGACTTCGGTTCGGTTTGGTTCGTCTTTTTCTTTTCATCAAATCAGTTCGAGTTCTGTTCGAATCAACTCAAATCGAACCGAACCGTTTTAGTTCGATTTCGTTCGCTTTATTTTCAGTTTCTAATGTAAAATAATCGATCAAATTTTATTTAATAATTGCCTACAGTATCACAAATTTATGCAAAAGATTATAACTAAATTAATCCTTTTTCTTACATTTTCATCTAAATTGAATCACTTTTTGAAAATTATGTTCGGTTCGATTTAGTTCGTTTTCAGTCTCTGGTATAAGCAAGTATAATGAAGAATTTTATTCTCGAAAAACATTTGTGTGTTAATCAAAATCATTGAGTTGAATTATATTATTGTTGCCTCTATAGATATCATCTCAATTTCTATTCAGGTTTCTCAAAACTCTGAACACTACACTACCATTCAGCAGCTTAGCTATATTTTCAGTATAATTTGGTGTAATAGTATTATATTTATCACTTTGACAGTTTATATTTTTTACCTCCTCATAATTATCGCCGCTTAATACACATAAAAAGTCATAAAGAGATATAAAATATATTAATACATGTCCAGACAAAATCTTTTTCAATTAAAATTGATTGTTGAATAACTCAGTCTTTTTGTTGATTTTGTTGTTGATAGGAAATATATCTTTATTATTTTTTTGTTTGAATTTTCATTAAGTTCTGTGTAATTGTCAATAATCTTTGACCTATTCATAAATTTCTTTTTGTATCAACGACAATAAATATTATACGGAAATTAGCTACTATTCGTTTTATTTTGTCAGCTTATGGCAATATATACAGAACCATGTGAGTTTTCAGTGATTGAAATTCTTATTATTTAACATAAATCTTTATTTTATAAAGATTTTCTAGGATATATATATAGGAAAAAAGATCTACAAACGATGACATTCTACGAGAATTCTTAAGGACATGCAAAACATAGGACGACTAAGAAGCCTCATAAATTATTCAAAAGAAAGCTTTTGAGTAAAAGATTGGAACATTTTAAAGTTAAAGTGCAATTGTGATATTTTCCAAAAACATAAAATAGGAAAGTTGAGCATATTCAAACTGATGTTTTTCATTAAATAGTTACAAAATTATGGAATATGTTTTCGTTAATTGAAACATATAATATATCATATAGCATAAAAATTATAATTATTTTGATTAGAAAAAGATCGGTTTCAAAATGATGACAATTCAATGATCTATTCGGAAAATATTTTATAATGTTACATTCTTAAAATTATTTATTTATTGTTTTAATTTTTACTCAATGGGTGATTATGTTCATTCTCATAATATAAAATATATACAAAAAATTAACGAATAATAATTTCAAATAATAGATGAGAGAAAATTTTCTTTTTAAATATCAGATAAATACTCTTACTTTTTTTCAGATCATTGATTATTGAGTCAAGAATTTTAATAAAGATCGTCTTGAAAATAATAAAATTAAAATAAAATTAATCAACAAAAAATATTCCATATGTTGCATAAAGATATCATAATATATATATATCGTCGTATTGTTGAAAGAATAACTAAATGTGCTGTTTTAGTAGCTAAATAAAATATTTATTGAATTCTTTTTAAAAAATTCATTTCATTTTATCTTACTACTATCCAATAAAAAAAAAATAATATATTCAATTCTACTAACACCATCCATTTGATATGAACATGTTACTACTGATATTTTATATATAAAACGTTGTTGATTCAAATCTATAGGAAGAATTTATTGTGATAAATATTTATGTGCTATAACACGATTGATCATATTAATTCGATTATATGCAAATACACATATAAAACTAGATTTTAAACAAAATTCTTTTCTCTTTAATAAATTCTTGAATAAAATTACATACATGATGATTATCAACTTTGAGAATAAGATTTAGTTCTAATTCATTTATAAGTGGTTTAACAAAACGAACCAGACATGTTAATAAAGGCCAATGATTAAGTATAATACAAAATATTGATAATAATGGACAATTTTGTATTTGTTCCATTATGATAATATGTCTACCATCAACATACGAATCAAATATATCGATATCTAATTAAAATAAAATAAAATAAAATAAAATCAATATGTTTCTATTGCCTTTCTACAGAAAAAAAATACTTTAAGATATTAAATATCATTTTGATAATATAAACAAAAATATTTCAACCAAAATAATTTTTAAAACATTTTCTTAATATATGTTGTTTATTACCATAATATTCTCTACCAAAATCATTGTTATCTGGAATAACAGTACATGTTTGTTGACAATTTTCATATTGAAATATTCAATCAAAACGATCAAGATATCATTTAAATTCATCATCCGCTTCAGTTAAACTTTCATCAAATATATCACAAAAAAAAGTATCGAATTTGGTTTTATATATTAATTGACTTAAGAAAATCTTTTAATATGATATCTATTGAACGAAAAAAAATAAAAACTTTGATCTATATGTTTTAAAACCATCACAAAGCTAGAAAATTATCTGTAAGAAGAATGAGCAAAAGTTAAATTATTGTATTAGAGAAAAAGGTTTAGCTTAATGAAGATGGCTCTATTTTTTTTTTGTTTTCTCACCGATTAGAATTGTATTTACTGATTGTACTTGTTTGTAATTTTTTAAGATTCGATTGTCAATTTCAATTTCATATAAAATATTTTTATTTTCTAAAAATAATTGAAAATAGAAAGTTTTCATTATATCTGATTGTTTTTTTTTTAACCCATTGTTTGTACTTAAAATAAAGAATTGTACATCTTTGTTTCGATCATTTGAATTCTTATCTCTATTCTAAAGGTTCATCAAATTGATTTACTAATTACGTTAATAAGAGTCTATCAGAGAAAATGTCGAAACTTTTCGTTCTATCACTATATATGAACTATAAATATGAATCTTTACTTAGTTTAGAACTTACAGTTAAGATAATACATTGTATGGTAAAGACTAATAATATCGAAATATGATAAATAAATTATAAAATAAAAAAATATTCATCCCTATCAGCATCCTTTTGTGTAATTAATCCAAAGAAATTTTCATCTTTTTCACCAATTAATTGTGGATTAACAACAAGAAGAACTTTTTCAATAGTTGATCTATAGAAACATAAATAAAAAAATTAAAATATATATAGATTTTATTCATATGAACGTTTACGAATGAAATCAATATATTCATGAAATATCCCTTTTATTTTCTAATGTACAATTTTTGATTTATTAAGAAGAATTTACTGTTTTATTTATTGAAAATTTCTTCTTACTTTTTAGGTAATGATTCTATATGTGGCCAATAAAATCGAGTCGATTCATAGAAAAAAATTTCATTGATAAAAATTATGAGAACAACAGTAATAATTATAAATCCATATCATGTTAAAATATATGAGAAAATAGCAAACCATTTATACCGTTTGAAAAAAAAAACATGGCTAAGCTTGTACTACGTCAAATTCTCAGCCAAATTCAACCATTTTTTCAGAAAATATTTTTCATACATGTGGCTAGTTTGGTTGCTAAAGTAATCTCTCCAGTTATTGTTTGTCGCTAGACAGTATGAAAATGATGTCATTTTTCCACTTAAATTTTACATGGATATGTTCGATAGACATAAATTAAGCTAATTTTCTTTTCTGTTATGAACGCCCTTTTAAAATTCATTTACTTCCCATTAGTATATTCTCGAGATGGACTATAAAATATGCTATTTAATTGAACGAAGTTGTTCTCATTTTTTTGTACTTGCTTGAAAGATTCGTGGTCGCAGTTTTGATAAAAAAATGTGCCGTCACGCTACTTTTTTTGCTTTTTATGTATCTCAAGTTTTGCTGCATCTTAATCCAAATATATTTTTAGCACAAGTAGACCGCAAAATATAGAACGGATAATACAAATTTCAACTCTGAACACTTTGTCGTTTAGGAATAAATTTCAACATACAGATCAAATGTTCTATCTAGAGTCCTGCAAGGGTATGAATTTCGTTACCCTACCGTACCCTACATTTTTTTCGTACCCTAGCTCTACCCTACCCTAGGGTACAATGGTCGTACCCTATACCCTATCCTACCCTACTAAATTCAAAAATTGCATTAACCGTATACTGTGCATGATTTCATTATTCATTGATGAAATGATGAAGTTAAATTTTACAAATATCAAGAATAGTATACGAAGAATATCACAGGTAATATGAAAATCAGAGAAATAGTACTAAACCCCCGTACGTATGAAAAGACCCTGAATCTTCTATTATGTCAAAGCGTGTAAAGTTTTCAGGAGAGTCTTCTATTGTGTACCATTTATTTCCGTAATTTTTATTTAAGAAGGTTCTTCAGAAAATCAAAATGATTTGATGATTCGGAAAGAGATTTTGAGGTTTTTAAAAGTCCAGAAATAAGACGGACCTTATTCTTTTAAAATTCTCAGCTAAAAATTCAGAAAACTACGCATATTTTAATGCAAATGTACGAAATAAAGTTCCAATTTTTCGAGAAGTTAATTAATTAAGGGGGGGGGGGGGAGGTCATTTATTACGTCCGACGCATCATTCGTTCAAGGAGTCTTCTATGACGAGGAGGGGTTTACATGGACCACGAATATTAAAAACAATATCGACAAAGAAAAAAGAAAGACATGAACAGCTTTTGTCACTTATTACAGAATGACTCGAAGTAATTAGTCAATAGGTATTTTCTCAATATTATTTTCCTATAAATAGAAGATGTTGTTCGACAGTAGAGGTTGCCAGACGTCGGGCGTTTAAACAGACCAGATTGGCATAATGAAAAGTTTACCCTGAAATACCCTACAGTTTTCAAAATAATATCCTAGCCCTACCCTAAGGTAGGGTAGGGCTGCAGGACTCTAGTTCTGTCATGTTTTTCTGACAGTAAAATCAATGTTTCTCCAACAAAACAGAAAGAAATCTAGATATATCTTATAAGAATGGAAAGCTCTTTGAAATGCTCATCTAACTCTGTAAAATCCTTTGGAAGCAACAAGAGTCAGTTTATATATGTTAAAACAGGCTTTCTTCTCGTTTTTTTATTCGTCAACAGAAGATATTCTTTGAAAAAAATAGACTTGATAAAAGGGCAACATATAGACGTTCGTTTTAGAATATATTTGGGTAGCTTATGATTTTGCTTCGATTCATTCTGGATTCATTTTTCTAAAAGAAGCTTTTAACATTTCTTGTGGTACCTTTATGGATGGCTGCATGATTCTAAAAAATAATCTAAAAAAATACCGTTAAATTTTTCGAAATTTCGGCTATCTCTAACAGTGATAGTGGAACAAGTACTGGTTTTCTGCATTTCTTTAGTAGTATTATCTACACCCTATACGCAAAATCATTCCATTCAAAAAAAATGAAATTTAAAAAAAAAAATTAAAGTCAAACGGTACAAATCGCTTGCAATTTTCTCATATTATTTCAATTTAAGCAAGATTCCAATGAAATTTGTTAATCTATTTCAATAATTTACTATTAAATAAAAAACTTTACCCGATATATAAACTATTCGTAAAATATATTGTTGATGATGTTGCTAATCAAGATAAATCACTTTTCGATTTTTTACTTTCAGATAATTGATGATAACGAATTAATATTTCGTTTTTTTATTCTATTATAATTTCATTGAATAAAAAATCTAGAAATAGATCGTATTATTAATTTTATCAATAGAAAAAAATATAAACAACATAGAAAATAAATTAAAACAAACAAGAACAAAAAACAGAACATTCCTCTTTTATCACTAATATGTTTTTCATAAATCTTTTTTAAATGTAGAATAGGATCATATAAATTTTTCGAAAATCTCATTGATATCTCATTAACACGTAATGATATATGAACAATATATTTCTTTATAATCTTGATAAATTGACTTTTTATTCGTTATTATTTTATATATTGTTTAATCATTTTGTTTAAGAAATGTTTCTATACATCAATTTAATATTGATAAAAGATATTGTATTTCTTGTACAAATGTTTTTATTATAATCATCTGGATGAGAACTTATTCGATGTTATTCAATAATATCTGCACATTCTTAACATTGAAATGATGATGGACGTAAAGTTTGCTGAGAAAATTTTAAACATGATGGATTATCTTTTCCATTCTATTAACAAAAAAAAAAAAAAACTTTAAAATCAAAATAGAAAGAAAATTATCGTTACTTTGAAGTTTGAAATTTGATAAAGCAAGTTGTTCAATTAAAAGACGTAAATATTCAAATGGATAAATGATTTGATGGAAATAATTTTAAAGCTTTTTCATAATCCAATAATGGCAAATGCACGTAAAAGTTTTCGATGAGTTGTATTATTCTTACAAATCAAACATTGTTCGATTTTTCTAAAGAAAATTTTAAATATTAGTTGAATATGAAAAGTATTATGCAATAAAGAAACTAATCGATAAGAAATTCTTGTAGCTTGATATTTAATAAATGATGAATAATGATCTGATGATGAAATATTAAGTTCAACATCAAGATATTTTAATACATGTTTCATACAATTAATAGTTTGTTTTTCACTTGAAATAAATTCATTAAAAAAAAATTAAAGGTTAAAATAAAATCATTTGATTTTTTACATGTTTTTATAACATTTTACTCAACGGTGGATAATCTTGTAATGATATTCCCATTGTAAAATAACTATTTGATAAATTTCATGATAAAATACGATAAACTTCATATAAATTAGAGCGATTTTCAACGAATTTTAAATCTCGAAAATAATAATCAAATACTTTTTAATAACTTTGTTATTCTTGTTGAGAAAAATTCTTGTCGAACACCATTTAGAAGAGGTACATAAAATTGTGCAAAATATCTCATTAATCATCCAAGATTTCAATGTAATAAATAATTTTATATTTGATATTTCATTGATTTCTTTGATGTGATTGAATATCAGCATGAAAAGTTTTGAAACTTTTTTGGAAATTAATCTTGTAATTCCTAAATAGATTTTCAATTATGTGACGAATTCTACATATAATTCAAGAATTTCTCTTCTATGACAGATAAATAATTTATTAATAAAGAGAAAAAAATTAAGAATAAAGATTTGTAATATTGCTGTAAATACTGAAACATGATCGACAAGAGCATTGAAATAATAAGACGTGAAATCCAACAAGCAATACAAATGTCAAACTCTATTTGACGATATGATCAGTTTTTAAACCAATTAATTTTTTATTTTATTAGAAAAATTCATGTTTGAACTAGAAATTTTCTACGAGATATATTTTTCTTATACGAATTTCAAAGTTAAGCATAGTCAAAATCTGAACACCTCTAAAAACGCATTTTTGCCACTTCTTGCTTGCACAGCATCGTTTTCTATTTTCAATTTAAGTTTTTCTATATGAAATGAAAAAACATGTTTAATGATGTACTTTATAGTTTAAAGAGTTATCTATTCAATGATATTTTCGAAGCTGAATTTACCCTAGAGATTATTTTATCTGAAAAGCAATTGTATAATTTAATTGTTTTTATCAAGTGACCGTTTGATAACAATAAAAATATTTTTTGTCTATGTTCATATATAATGATCTATATTGAACAAATAATGCTCAAAGATTTGAGTTTATATGTAGTTTTTCGAGATTGTATTTGTTCAATTTTCAAAATGATCATTGTTGTGAAAGACTCAATTTGGATTTTTTTTTATGAAAATTAAATGGTGAATCTAAAAGTTTTATCAAAGTTAATACAAATAAAGCTACATTTTTGTGTAATTTCTTTTAATAGAATTTAATCTGTGTGATTAAACATAATCGAAATATAGAAAACTTTTTAATTTTCAAAAATATTCCAAGACTTTTTCATATATATTTCATTTTTATCTTTTCATAATTTTTCAAATTCTTTCTTTATTGTTTAGGACATTACTC